AGTAGCAATCACATGATCTGATGGATTAACTGATTTGCACCTTTTTAAAAAGGTTTTCATCCCTTTGTATTAATATTTACAACAGAAGATTGCTAGAAGTGCACAAACAGGAATAGCCCAGTTACCAAGATTAACTGCTCTCATTATGCAGGAAGCATTTCTGGCTGCCGTAAACAAATCACGTCAAAGGCAGCCCATCAAAGGCTGCTCTGTGTGCGGACAGCAGGGCCACACGGAACAAAGCTTGCTTCTGGTGGAGGAGACAGAACCTAGCCAGTGCGCAGCTGCACGGGCGCAGAGCACCCTCTATCCAAGCTGCACAACCATCAGCACATTGTCAAGCTCCGAGAAGGCCCTGGGGCTAATGGTCACAAACAGCCACATTCTAAAATCAGCCTAAGAAAAGAGTTACTTTGCTTTTCAACAAAGGATATGTTATAAAAATATACAAAACTAGACTGGAAGTTACCTTATTGATTCATATAAGCCAAATATCAATGTAATTTCAAATCCTAATTTCCATGCTTTATTTTACTGCCATCCTCCAAGAGCAATTCTTTTCCTAGCCACTGTTTCAAACAGAGAAGCTGGAAAATAACTTTACAATGATTACATGGCCAAGACTGCATTAGGTCCTACATACACACTAGACAAATCAGAATTGTGTACAGTTTTTTTCACAGTAAAAGAGAAAAAGACTTGCAATTACAGCCACCAACACCGTTAGTGTTTACATCTTGGTTAGCATAGGAGACTGTCTAGAAAGCTCCATGACGACACCAGACCTTGTCATAATCACAGGGGGCCTCCAACTTTTAGTCTTTTCTTTCCTACAGGGCCGGTGTTTCCTCCTTTCAGTCACAATCTGACCAATTTTAAATCTAGTTTTCTTCTAATAGCACAGCTAATTCTACCGCACTTACGGAATTTGCCTAACTTACTTTTGTAATGTAAGAATTAAAGTCAGGTTAACCCTCAAGACAAAAGAATGTTGTGCATTTCTCACTATTCCTAAACTAAATGATATGCTCAAATTTCTGATGATATAATTTTCTTAGTGTTCTGAACTAATGACTTAGAAAATCAAGTCAAAAATTCAATCAGAACTTAAAAGAGTTAAAAAATGGCAATTACAAGTAAAATCAGAGACAAAAGTATAAGATGTAGAAGGTGTGTATCAGGATATACATAAAGGAAGAAGAGGTAAAGAGAAAAAAATAAAGAAACAGACTATTTCTCTGAACGTACATGTGAAAAAGATAGTGTTAGAAAATGTCATTCCCACTTACCAAGTTTCTCTCTAACCTAAAACCATTTAGGGGCTTCCTACTCGTAGAAGTCCATCAAAACTCCTCCCGTGGCCTAAAGGGCCCAGGTGTTACGGTTCCTACTCACTTCTCCAACTACATCACGCACATGGTCTCCCCTCCAATGAACTCTCAAGCCTCAGTGGGCTTCACGCAGCTCTGCCTCCCTTCTTGGTACATTCAAATATACCAAGTCTTTTTCCATCCCTGGGCTTTTATGGTCACTATTTTCTCTACCTAAAGTGTTTTCCTACCATTTATCCCATGAGTGGCTCATTCTCATTTATCAGGTCTCAATTCAAATATTTCACCTGTCAGAGAGGCTTGTTCCACTGTTTCATCTAAAGCTGTATCATTGAGTTACCATCTCAATACCTTATTTACCTCATTTAATGACTAAGTTAGATGATAACTTTCAGCTATAATGGCTTTAAAAGAGTTATACTAAACAAAAAAATCCTCTGTTTTTTTGTTATCTGTATTTAGTAAAATGACTTTTTCATCACAAAACACTCTAAATCAATATACTATAAGAAGTGTGGGCGGGGCGCGGTGGCTCACACCTGTAATCCTAGCACTCTGGGAGGCCGAGGCGGGTGGATCGCTCAAGGTCTGGAGTTCGAGACCAGCCTGAGCAAGAGCGAGACCCCGTCTCTACTAAAAATAGAAAGGAATTATTTGGACAACTAAAAATCTATATAGAAAAAATTAGCCAGGCATGGTGGCTCATGTCTGTAGTCCCAGCTACTCAGGAGGCTGAGGCAGTAGGATTGCTCGAGCCCAGGAGTTTGAGGTTGCTGTGAGCTAGGCTGATGCCACGGCACTCTACTCCGGCAACAGAGTGAGACTCTGTCTCAAAAAAAAAGAAGTGTGATGTTTCACTATTACAGTTTCAGGCAAAGATGCACTAAAAATTTTTATTTGCTGTAATAGTTTCTTGTCACAGAATATCATGAGGAACAAATTTGAACTGCATGCCATGTTTGGATGAACCCAAAACAATTTGCTTTGCATAAGTACACCAAGTAAGAGAGAGAAGAGGCAGTATCTTCCATGGTTCTTTAGTCTATTGTGTGCATGAACTATTTCCATAAGTTTTCATGCTGAGCCTTTATTTTGCCCTAAAATGTCTTCCTGTTGTATAACTTTATTTTACAGTTTTAGTTTGAATGCACGATAAAAATGAACCAAAAAAGGGCTGAAAATTTTGAGGGAAAAATTATAAAGATATAAAAAAGAAGGTGAATTAACCTTTATTACTTTATATACAAACTATTTGCCTTCATCAAATGGTTACTTATAAAAATTTGTTTTCCATATTCAACTGATACATTAAATATTTTTCTACTTGTGAAAATGATTCAAGTATCATGGGTTGGAATGAAATACATCATAATTTTTCTCATTAATATTAGTGGAAACAATTTTCTCATTTAATAATCTTTCACTTAGCAGCAGGGTTTTTAGGAATAATTTAAATTCATTAAACAAAGAGTAGCTATATTTCCTCCATTACCAAATGTAACCACATTGTATTAATATATCCATTTGTTTACTTGTTTATGATCTATCTCCCTCACTAGATTATAGGCTTCGTAAGTGCAGAAACTTTGTCTTCTTTCTCTTGTGACATGATCTAATTTACATTTTAAGAAGATTACTCTGTTTTCTGGGTAACAAACGGATTCCAGAGGGCAAACATGGACCACAGTCAATTGTAGTAATCCAGGTAAAAGCTAAAGGAAACTAGAAGTACAATATCAGCAGAGGAGATAGAAAAAGAACAAGCAAATTTGGAATTTGTTATTATTTCAGAGGCAGAAATAATTTGATTATTTAGAATGCAGAATCAGGTCAGCTTCCTATCTTGAGCTGATGTTGGTGCCACTAACTGAAATGGCTAAGACTGGGGGAGGACCAGACTTGATGGGAAAGAAGAGACAACAGGGTTTCACTTTCAGACATGTTAAGCTTAAAATGCCTATTAGGCATCCAAATGGACATCAGCAAATGGTTATCAGTTAAACTCTTTGGGTTGGATTTGATCACTGAGAGAGAGAATAAAAACAGAGAAGAGGAGGCCTGGGCTCTGGGACTTGCCAACATGATAGATAGGCTTCCTTCTTCTAGTCTCTTCCCTTGTTAACAAATTCATGAAAGTATTTTTCAATGATGGCATAATACTATCATCAAAAATATCATGACCTATTTCTATACCCCAATGTGTATTGCAGACTTTAACTTTCACATTTGACCATGCTTGCAATATTCAGATCACAATCTCCAATGCAAACAAACTCTAAATACTCCCTCGAAAAAAAATAAATGCCAGAGACTAACTCCAAACCTCCTCGTCTACAGTGAGATAAACAAGAGAAAAAAAAATGGGAACTAAAAGAATAGAGAAGAAAAAAGCTTCTATTTTGAAGGTAACAGAAATAACATCACAAAATACAAGAATAACAGTGCTCTCAAAATAAACCATCCAAATAATGAATATGTTAAATTTTATAAAAAGTATTATACTTTTTTCCTTACAGTTGTAACTACTTAGTCTGAAATGCACAAATGAGCATGTTATGAAAACATACAAGTCTCAGTTCAAGGAATTTTAACAACTCTTCAGGTCTCAATAGAAATGGACAAGGTAACTGCTAGAAAAATAAGGATGAGGTACTTAAAACACCTTCTATTCAGAGATGGTAAGTGAGAAACAGCTAGCAGTTAGGGTGAGGACAAGCAGCGCTGAACTCAATTTATACTTCTAGAACTAAGTTTAGATTAAGGTAGACACAATCTTTACAACACTAAATTCTCACTCCATCTGATTTCCCGCAACACAACAAAGCTCAGTCTCAGTTTAACCCAGAGAAATATAATTAAATTATATTAGTAACCAGCTTTTCTATATTTGACTATAAAGTCACACCCCAAATTTTTTTTCCAACATCATTTATATCACCAAGCTAACCACACTCTCTCTCTTTAACATGAAGGTACTTTCCTAAGTGGAAAAAACCACCTATATTATCTTTGGAAACAGAATATATTTACATATATGGCTAATTAATATTTAAAGAATGAAATCTAGGTAAATGCTACCCAATAAAACTAAATATAATTTATCAACTTTACAAAAAAGAGAGGAAACACAAAATAAAATAAATACCAGATAGTAACTTCAAATCTCCCCGAATTCCAACTTGGTCTCATTCTACATAAGAAGCCAAAGATGATTATGCTAGTGAAGGCCCTGTGTAAGTGTCTCTTCACCAGTATCATCACTGATAGTCTGCACATAGGTATAATAAAGCCCATTAATTTCTACTAAAAATAACTAAGTAAAACAAATACTCTGGGTATAAAAACACATTTTATGCATGGAACATGGAAGACAAGAGGTCATCATACCTGCAACCTGGAAGATACAAAAAATAAGGCAAAAGAACAATATCACTCTACACAGCTGACCCCTCGTTAAATTTTCACTCACTCCAAAAGAGTCACAGGATAGGTAACAACCAGCAGGATGTAAAGATTTAGTTATTATATTCCAACTAAGTTTTCAAGCCACAAAATCAACTCTTCTGAATCAGTGATATGATAGTTAACCTGAAAACTCATTTTAATGTCTAAAAATTGCTAAATAATGTTAGAAATGTTTGAGAGCTGGAATAGCTTAATTACTCTTACCTTTGCAGACACTCAAAATCATACCGCCTGAACTTTGCACTTCATCAAATTTGGCAAGTATCATTTCTAATCTGGGAATAAAGAATAAATTGTGTTTGTTTATTTGTTTTTGCATATAGATTAAATAGAAACAATTTCCTTCATCTCCCTTAGAAAAAATAGTTCTAGGGATTCAGCTAGTTCTATACAACTCTTTTACAATTAACTCACTAAAAGACGACACAAAACTCATCTTTCTTCAGTTGAGAGAAGAAGCCAAATACAAGCAGGACTACATACTTGCAGGCATGTTTGTCAAAAGACAACTTAGACACAAAATGGTTTCACAAATTTCATCATAAAATTATTCCTCCAAAACCATCAAAAATATTCTAGCTTCAATCTTATAATAAATCCACTCAGTCACAAAATACATCTTTAAGAAGCACATAAAAATCATGCTAGGGAAATTGAAGGCAAACATAAAAATAATGAAATATAAAATATGAAAAAACTAAAGAGATTCTGACATGACCGATAATGATGCTTTTTCTATAAACATGACTATTTTCATATAATACCAGTTCTGCTGGCACTTCTAATTTTATACTCAGGATAATTACTCTTTCTACACTTCTGCTATCACTTTTCTTTTTTAAGTTAAAAACATGTTTCTTATTTCAAAAGTAATGTACACCGATTATAAAAGTAAATTAGGAAATATAAATAAGAACAAAGGAAAAAAACCACAATCCTACCATCCAGAGATTTTATTTAACTATATCCTTTCTGATGCTTTTATATTCACATATAAATTTTCTTCAGAGTGAAATGGGATCATGGTGACAGCACTTTTTTTTAGTTTGTTTTTCTTTCACTTTCCAATGTATCATGCTATGACTTATTCTTAAATTCATGACTTGGAGATTCGGGGAAGAATGTTGTTCTCTGAATTATCCTTATGTTTCTGTCACAATTTCATTTCCTAAAACCTTACTTAAGCCATGGTCCACATCCTGTCATTTCTTACCAGTAAATTGAGGATATAGATACTTTTTGAAATGTCATTGATTTATTTCAGTAAGAAATAACTAAAATTTTTTTTAGTTAAAACCTAGGGATTCATTATAATGGGAGTTCTAAACCCTAACCTCACCTCCTAACCCCATTAAATTCAACAAATACAACTATTTACAACTCTGAAAGACACAAGTCTCTTCATCCTACAAAGTAGGATCTTCCACAGGGTTGAGCAGACACCAGGCAGGTTGCCCAGAGACAAGAGATGGACATGAGATGGAAGGGAGCACTAGAATCAGAAGCCGGAAGCTCAGACTGAAATCCAGACAGGCTAGGAACAGAAAAACAGGATTTTGGAGAGCTATTTAAGAAAAAAGCAAAACAAGATGTTAAGAGGCATGCGATGAACGCTTAGCTATAGAGTATGAAAACAGGACTAGGAAATTACGAGAGAAAGCTCAGAGAGAAAAGAGGGTTGGCAAGGGAATTAAGGTGGGACACATAAAACATGCAACAACAAATGGAGATGTAGGTGGCTTTAGTGGAAGAGGGGTTAAAGGAAATAGTAGGCAAATATAATAGAAATAGAGGAAAGAAAGGAAAAGAAAGGAGGAGGGGAGAAGAGGAAAGCAGAGAGAGAGGGAGAGAGAGAAGAGGAGGGGGAGGGGAGAGGAGAGAAGAAAAAGGGGTCAGAGTAGAAGACATCACCCAAAGGTCTTTTGGGATCAGGTTGGGCTGGGAAAGACATACAGAGGAGATGCTTAACTCATACCATTCCTCTTGCTGCCAGCTCTCACTTTACACTATATACTCTTCCTATGACTGTCCTACTCTGTCTTCTCAGTCTCCCTTTCTTTCTAATGCTTCTCACTTTACCAGCTTTCATGTGAAATTAACATATGACTTTTCTTTGGTATTTATTGAAAAGATTTAGTCCACTGTTCAAATTTTATAAGGGATAACTACACACCTTCTTATCTTTAAAGAAAACAAAAAAACAGTATAATTTTCTTTCTATGTGGCCCTTACTGGATCCCTCCAACCCTCAATCATTAAACTCTCTATACCTATTTTAGAAAAACAAACTTATTCATAACAGAGGATCATCACACATATTATCCAGTGAAAAACGAAGACATCTAAGAGCAGAAAGAAGAGTCTAGGATCTTTTAATTAATTCAAGGGGAAAATTAGGAAATTTAATGGAAGAAAAATACAACAGAGGTTGGACTGTCCAAAACATTATAAACACAATTTAGTAAGCCTATAAAGCTCTAGGAAGATTCTGACTCATAGGGTAAGGAGGATAGAATTGGAAAAGCAACTCTAACCAAAGTCTATACTTAGAGTTTAGAGTAAGAATAATAAATCATAACTATAATATAAAAGAGACAATTAGGTATCTCAGAGCTTATCTCTTTTAAACAACAACATAATTGAGACAGAATTCACATACCATGCAATTCATCTCTTTAGAATGTACAATTCAATGGTTTTTAGTACATCCACAAAGTTGTGCAACCATAACATTTTCACCACCCCAAAAACCACATGCCCATTAGTAGTCATTCCCCATTTCCCTTGATCTCCCCAGTCCTAGGCAGCCACTAATCTACTTCCTGTCTCTATAGAGCGTATCTAGGCTGTGAGTTGCCATATCTATTCATTTCATATCAGTGCAATCATATAATACATAGCCTTTTGTGACTGACTTTTTTCCTTAATACTGTTTCCAAGATTCATGCATGTTGTATTATGTATTAGTCACCCTTATTTATGACCGAATAATATTCTATCATACGGATATACCATACCACATTTTGTTTATCCATTCATCTGCTGATGGACATATGTGGATGTAGTGTGTTTCTACTTTGGGACTATTACAAATAATGATGTTATGAACACCTGTGTATAGGTTTTGTGAGAAATATGTTTTCATATCTCTTGGGTATATACCTAGGAATAGAATTACTAGGTCATATGATAATTCTATGTCTAACATTCTGAGGAATAATAACTTGTTTTCCAAAGTTGTTGCACCAGTTTACTTTCCCACCAGCAATGTATGACGGTTCCAAATGCTCTACATCCTCATCAACACTTGCTCTTGTCTGTCTTTTTGACTTTATTCATCCTGGAGTATGAAGTAGTATCTCATTGTAGTTTTGATCTGTATTTCCCTGATGGAAAATGATGTTAAGTATCCTTTCATGCACTTATGGCCATTTGTATATTCTTTGAAGAAATTCTACTTCTTCTCTGTTTTTTAAATTGGGTTATCTGTTCTTTTAAGTTATGGGAGGCCTTTATATATTCAAGATATGCCTCTTTATAAGATCTTTGATTTGCAAGTATTTTCTCCCATTATATGGATTTTCCTTTACTTTCCTGATGGTGTCCCTTGAAGCATAAGTTTTAAATTATGAGGAAATCCAATTTTTTTATTTTTTTCCTTTGGTTGCTTGTGCTTTTGGTGTTATATCAAGAAACCAGTACCCAGTGTTGTCTAAGAGTTTTATCATTTGAGCTCCTACATTTAGTTCTATGATCCATTTTGAGTTAATTTTTGGGTGGGTGTGGTATGAGGGAGGGATGCAATGTTGTTCTTTTGCATGTGGATATCCAGTTTATAAAGCACCGTTTGTTTGTTGAAAAGACTATTCTTTCCCCAATGAATGGTCTTGATGCCTTCAATAAAAATCAACGGACCATAAATATAAGAGTTTACTTCTGGACCTTCGGTTCAGTTCCACTGATCTAAGTCTGGTATTATGTTAGTACCATACTGTCAGAGATTATCTTTTAAAAAATATTTGATAAAGAAAAAATTTTTTATTATTATTTTAAAACTATCTGATTTAATGGCTTTATGAATTATACTTAAGTTTAGTAGTTTTAAAAAAGAATGGTTGTGATATAATTATAAGGGTGGACAAAACCAAACTTAACCTTAAAGGACTGCATCCAACAGAAAATTTGGAAACCACAAATGGGGCAATATTTGAGAAGCAAAAATATTCCTTCTGAAAATTCAAGTTAGAATGCAACTACAATGATAAAAGAATAACTTACTTCAAATGAATGTAATGTTCAGTATAATGTTAACTCTTGAGAAAATATGCTAGTGGAAAAAGGGAAACAGTTAGTAGAACAATAGTCTGAAGAAAGGGGTGAACCAAACTTAATCCATGCTTTACCTTACAAAAATTTAAGAACTCTTTAGCATGTGTGTGATATTTTTAGGATTCAAAATACCACTTATAAAATTATGAGGCCATATGCCAAAAGAACAAAAACACTCTGCTTCTTCAAAAAGCAATGCTTCACTATATACTTCAAAAAGCAAAGATCATGTAATCACATAGAGTCCTTCCCCATTTCCTACTACCTGCTAGAGAAGCATCACAGAGAAGAATGACACAAGCACAGCATACAGGAAAGAACAATAACAATGGGAATCGGAAAGCCTTTAGCTCCTTACCAACTAGCTGTCACTGCTTTAGGTCTCAGAGTCCTCAACTGCCAAATGACTATGCACTTAGAGGAGGGAGAAACTGCTAATATAAGAATGGTTAGGGGTAGGAAGTCATTGGCTTATTTCAGTAAGAACATTAAAGTATTAGCTACCTGCATAAGACAAAACTCCTATGAGGTTGATTCCGACGGGGAAAAACATCAAATGAAGAGTTTCCTCTAACAACTAACATTACTAACAAAACATATGTCAAGAGAAAGGAAAATTATAGGTCGATGTCACTTTAAGCACAGATACAAAAATCCTAACCACTTATGTGTGCACTTAATTTATAACAAAGGAATCAATGAAAAGAGGCTTTCAGTAAATGGTGCTGAATCAAGCGGATATCCACATGGAAAAAAAATTTACCTGAAGTCCTATATCATAGCATTTGCCAAAAAAAAATTCCAGGTGGACTGTAGATCTAAATGTGAATGAAACTTTGAGATAATTATACAGAAGAATGTCTTCATAATATTAGGATAAGCAAAGAATCTTAAATAGGGCACAGAAATCTCCACTCATAAAGGAAATGACTGAGAACTACATTAA